ATTTCTCACAAAATTGATTTTTAAACTTTTATGGCGCCTATCATTCGGATTTTGGCGTCCTAAACTGTGTTTTTCTTGTCTATTTTGGAGCCTATAATCCAATTTTTAGTGCCTATGAATCGGGCTTCTAGGTATTATATATGAATGACTTGTGCATACCAAAATGCAATGAACCATTGCATTGTATATAGACACAGGTTGTTCGCACCTCGCCGTGGTGGTCTAGTGGCTAAGGTACTGGCCGGGATCGAATCCCGGCTGCAGCCGCTGCATTGTCGAGGGAGGCAGAAATTCTGTACGCCCGTGTGCTCAGATTTGGGTGCACATTGAAGAACCTCACGTGGTCGAAATTTTGTGTCCTCTACTATGACGTCTCTCATGAACTTATGGTGATGTTGGGCCGTTACATTTTATGTATCAATCAATCAATCAGTCAGGTTATTCGGTGTGATAAGTAGTCATCCACTGAACACGACTGGAGAGAATGGTAGGCACCTTGAATATCATGTTATCTTCATCAAGACGTGTCACTGATGTTCTTCTACATTTGGACCTCTTCTTTTCAATCTTTCTTTAAACAGAATGAACAATGCATCCACGAGTTTACAAGGATGTACACTGCTAGAAAAGCAATTGGAGATATCGATGTGTATTGTTCGCAAATCAGTGCTTCGAATTGCAAAACCAATTGCGTTATGAAAAATGTAATTCTATGGGGCCTGAAAAAAAAATAGAAACAGACCAAAGCAAGTGTGCAAGACTGGTTCGGCAACTTCTGGGCCCTCAATTATATATAAAGAGACCTCTCCTTTCCTGATCGAACATACAATATCTTGCATCACTCAGCTGAAGATGGGAACAGCTTTAAGCTTCTGCGTCTTTCTCTTGCTAACTGCATTTGTAATTCTGGTCATAATACAAGCTGATTCCTGCTCTCTGGTACTTGCAGGTAAATTTTAAATAGCTTTTATTAAATACACCAGGCCTACGTAGTAGGCGCAGCACAGTCACAGCAAAAGCTGAAGGAGAGACCTTTCAAAGCCTTTTCAAAACACTCGTTGGGTAAATACTGCAAGCACACTTGCTTGGTACCCTCTAGAGCATTAATAATTAACTTTTGAGTAACAGGCAGGCATTCGCTATGCTTTCTTTTTCATTCTTCTGAAAAGCCTGGTATCTGCTAAACACTTGCAAGAAATTTTGTGCCAATTGTCCATGCAGTGGCAGACGACGATGAGGAATCATGGCTGAAGTGGACATGTGCCACAGTTAATAGGGGAACAAAAACGAGCTTTTGTGATGGCCTGGAGCATTCGACGGCCCATTCGTTACGCTAATCGCATTGTGCGACGACTTGTTGTTTTTTCGCTGTTGTAAAATGCTTCATAAGTTGTAATTACGCGATTGCTTTCCCGACATCAAGCCTGTCTAAGACAAGTTTGACAACAAGTCTCCAGCACCTGTACTTTATTGGTGATAATGTCATTCATAAAAGAAAAAAAAAAGCACCGGAGTAGCTCAGTGGTAGAATACTGGGCTGGCACCCAGCGGATCCGGGTTCGAGCCCTACTGTGCCATTGGTGCTAGGTCATGCCTGCCTAAGGCATGTTTGACAAGTTACAAGCACCAGCGTAACTCTGTGGTAGAATATTAGGCTGGCACCAAGCAGACCTGGATTCGAGCCCCACTGTGTCGTTGGTGCAAAGTTTTTTTACAGCGAAAGCTGTTATGAGATCGCAACTCCGGTCCCGCGCAGTTGCATGTTGTCCGCCGCCATCGCAACCACCGCCAGTGTCAGTAACCGCATCACCCAAAATTAGGAAAATAAAACCTTGCACTAATGACCCAGTGGGGCTTTAACCAGGATCGGCTAGGTGCCAGCCGATTATTCTACCACTGAGCTACTCCAGTGCTGGAGACTTGTTGTCAAACTTGCCTTAAGCAGGCTTGATGTCGAGAAAGCAATCGCGTTATTACGACCTAAAAAGCGTTTTACAAAAGCGACAGAACAGTCAGTCGTGTCAAAATGCGATTGCCGTAACGAGTGGGTCATCGAATGTTCCCACCCATTCTAACAGCTTGTTCTTGTTTCCCTTTCAACTGTGGCATATACCCACACTTCAGCCATAATTCCTCATTGTCGTCAGCCACTGCATGGACAATTGTCACAAAAAAATTCCTAGCAAGTGTTAGGCGGGTACCATGGTTCTTAGAAGAATGATAAAAATGGCATTGCAAGTGTGCTTACACTAGTTACCCAATGAGTTTTTTGAAAAGGCTCTGAAAGGCCACTCTTATAGCTGTAACTGCGACTGTGCTGTGCCTACCGCGCTGGCCTGGCGTTTTTTTTTTTCGTGCGATTATATTATGAACACCGGCAGCGGCGGTGGAGGCGGCGGACAACAACGATTGCACGTGACCTGAAAAGTGATCTCATAGCAGCTTTCACTGTTAAACATTCTTTGATATTGTTTATGACGCCATAGGGACAGCAAGGCAGACCCCCCACCACCAGAATGGCCTAATGAAAGAGAATCGTATTCATTCTTGTATTGTACATATCAGATGATATCACGTAAGTTCAACAGCACAGCTCAATAAGAATACGTTCGTTTACCCAATGTGTGCAAAGAAAGCCTTATTCTAAATGGCACTTTTGTCATGCTAATTTTTTTAACTTTTGTTGAACTTGCTTTAATATATTCATCTGACTTTCTTCTAGAACGGTCGTCGAGCATTGCCTTCTTTTTCAGAAAGACAAGTGTCGGGAGTCGCACGTTTTAATCGAAGCAAAATGTGCTTCTTCTTCATCAAAGTACGCTATGTGAATGCCATACAGCCCACACGAAAGCACCTAGGTGGTTCTGATTGTCCCACAAGGAGTTGAAGACAGCTTGCTAGAAAAATATTTGGCCCGAAAATCTGAAAATTACACAACTCTCTTCTTTCCGCCCTTATTGTCATCTGCCAATTTCACAGCATTCACTGGGACGTGCCCCATTCAGGGCTAAAGAAATTGCGTATTTTTCTCTCCCCTCTCTCTCCTATCAACAATCGCGCCATATCAGCGTGATGACCTTTGGGTGCCGGCGCTATCCATTTCAAGGCTGATTGCAGTCACCTTCTGTAATTTTGATAACCAAAAATTAGGTTGCACCCCATAAATTTCCAAAAGATCACTTTTGCCCGGTCACGTTAATAACGGTTTTTAACTGTACACGACACCAAATTTCGAGGTTAAATATTGTTCATATAGGTGTCAATATTGAAAATATTTATTTAGAGATTCTTACAGTAATTCTTGCATAAAAGCTAACAATAGGCACAGAAAGGCACTATCAAAACCTTACAGAAGTCTTTTTTACATCAAATTTATGCTCGAATGTCAAAATGGCGTTATAGAAACACAACGAACCACACAGATTTTTGCCTGAAATTGGGTCTCAAGTGGTAACGACGAGACAACTAAGGTTCTTTAGATATGAACAAACTCTCCCGGGTGTTTTTGTGTTTTGGTTCATTAAGAATTTTGGTTTTAGTTGCTCCAAGGACTTATAGCCAAACATACCGTAAGTCACTAGCGTATCATCACACCAAGCAGATCAGTGAGAGCCTTCGGAAACAGAGTTTTCGAGTACAATAATTTACCGAATACCTGCACAAACGCCGACGGGAACCAATACAACTAACTTCAAATTATGCATCAGCGATCTTCGAATTACATTATCAATATTTCGATTTAAGTAAAGTCTGTCTACTCAGTGAAAAATATATATTCACATGGGATTTTTCTTCCCAGTATTTGTTTTTCAATCCAGCCGTGTTATTTTTACAACGAATGTGCTCCAGCAATAGATATTCAGGTTCTGGTTTTCTGTTGCAAAAGCCTAGCTTTTTACATGCTTGAGTTGCAATAATCAGAAGCAACGTACTATCATGAGGCACGCTACTCCCTGTCACACAGGAATAATTTATACCCTCCGTGATTACTTCGCGTTAACTAAAAAATAGTCACATGGTGATGATTTATATTTGTCTCCCCCCCCCCTCTTATGTGGCAGCAGGGGTATTTGAATCTGCGGTCGAGTCAGAAGCACGATAATCTAGCGTCTAAGACACTGCTGTGGGTCATCGCCTGCAGATTTTGCTCGTTCACTTTAACGTATGCAAAACAGCATTACAATGAAGGGTTTGACGGAACGTTTTCCGGTTGGGGACAAACAACGAATAAAAAGCACTTCTGTGTATTCCAATCATATCAACATATCAGAGAGGCAGCTTAGTAGAAAAGAAATAACGTAAGCAAACAAACACAAGTTGTAACGGCTACTTGCATCCCGAATAGAGTTCACGCAGCTGACCGAATAACGAGAGGTGGCAAGTGAAAACCAGGAAGCTGCTTTTATTCAGCGGTGATGCTGCAACGTTAACTTCAGAAACTCATTAAGAATTCGACCAGGCTCATTTTTTCTTCTTCAATGTGAATGTTTTCCTCGCCCATGCGTCCCTCAACTTCAATTTTAATTAGACCTATTTGGAGCCAATATAAGTTTAACATCAAGGCCTTTGCTCACATCAATTCTTCTTGAAATATATAAAATTGATTTCGATGATTCGAGTTGTGCTTCACTTACTCTAGTAATACTTTAAAGCAGAAATAACTGATTGTTCAATTGGGATACTGTGAAAAGAAAGTATCTTGTGTTTCTTTCATTCAAAGCTTTACATTATTAGTTAGCAATTCAGTGAAGGTCGACACATTCATTGGTTTTCAAAAAAAAAGCACTAAGCTTAAAACCATTAATTATACAGTGGCGTTACTGGAAGTTTTTTTCATAATTGGCTAGAAAGAAAGCATTTTATACTTTTTTTTATTGAAACCACCCGTCACCCTCAAAGCATAACGACAGAATCAGAACTTCGGAGTGATATTTATTATTCGCCCTAATTGTCGGAGCAGTATTAAATCAATGCAATATTCTTATCTACCTATGTTACAGGAGGATGTGCTCTACATGACAAGAGAGGACGTGGAAGGCCTGGAAGCATTCCTGTATACAATCGCATCTGTAAACTTCTTCGTTGAGAGTCTTCTTATAGACCAATTTCGTCCAAACCACTCATACAGTAAATGTCTTCGAGCTCACTTGTGAAGGATATTGACACGGCCATGATATGAGATTGAGTTATGCCACTGTGTATATAAGTCATTGTGATATTCAAGGCACGACAATAAGGTAATAAAAAACGAGGTCGTGTTGGTGGTGATCTTTCCGACTGAACACCCGGTGCTCTTGTAGCCCGAGCTTGTGTATTATTCATAATCACGTGGCAATATAAGTTACATACACTTACAACAGCATCAAAAAAGAGCACTTTTTTCATTGAGAGCATTCCTTTTTTTTCTTTGTTAAAAAATTGAAATGACGCATCAATATTACACCATACGCAGAGATATTTGTTTAAAAATTATATGAACCTTCAATGAGTTGGCAATTCGACAGAGAATTTTAGGCAGTGGTCGTTAGAAATGGTAATGGAATTTTTTATTTACGTGAGCTCTTTCAGTACGCTCGGTTCTGTTAACCGTTCTATATTTACGAAGGCGCATTGCATTTGCCCTAGTGTCCACACCAGAATCAAACTTTTGTTAATGTCCACCTTCTGTTAATAATAATCTGATGATAGCTATGCTGAAGTCTTAACAAAGCCACAACATTGAATTGTGCCACCCTCTTCTAGTTTCTCATGGCTATTGTTACATAAGGTAGGACAATTTTTCTCATGCTTGTCTTTGGCTACAAATCTTCGCTGATATAGACAGTGCCCGTGCTTCTCGTCGGATGTCTTCGTCTTGTTCGCACTGATGTGTCGAAGATGGTAGGAAGTAATATCACGTTGCAACACTGTTAACATCACTCTACTCTTAGCAAGTAATAAAAACATTAATAGAAGACGGCACGTATAATCAATCAATCATTATCGCAGATAGAACCTGCTAAAAAGATATTAGACTGTAAACTTGAACCATTGGTAGTAAGACAGCATGTTCGCGCCTATTAGGGTGAAATAGTTCGAAGTATATAGCTTAGAATGTCATGAAGGCTAAATCACATTCACTCACTTGTTTTACTTTTAGCTAAAACTCGTAGAAATGAGATTTTTTGTCGAGCAATTGCTTCAGAATAAGGCGCCTGTTGATTCCTTGTATCCAGTTTCAGACAAACCACGTATACTTTATTATTATACTGAATCTTAAAAACCACGAGTAAGATTTTTGCCCAAGCATTCAAACACTCTGATTCATGTCATAATCACTCCTCATGAAGTCATGTGAGCACAAAATAAGAACCAGCTCTAACGCGAGGATGCACGTAGTTTATATTAAGGTTGTTCTCACGTTGCAAAGGTCACTGTTGTTAATGTTTAAACAAGTTTGTTATGCTAAGCCCGATTGTTGCAAAAACTGATGAGAAAAAAGGTGTCCTACTGAATTCTTCCATTCATCGCGTATCTCACAAGCTGAACAGAGTGGCTAGTAGAGAAGTAGTTATTCTTATTCTTGTGGCTGCCAATGAGCCCAATACATTTCTGCGCCTGTGCAGGGCAAAATAAAAAAATTTAGTGGGCAATATTTAAGTAGTGGATTTATTTTTTTACTAAGCACCAACAAACAGCGGGATGTAAGAGTGCTGGATCTCAAGGCAAAGAATGTTTAGCAGCAGCGGATGCTACTGACTTATGTGTGGCGAATGATGGCAAACAAATATTTTTTTCGGCCTCCACATTTATGGAGTGTGATAGACCTTGTATTGCAACACTGCATAGACCTTCTGGTATCATTGGCGACGGCCCCAAACTGGTTTTGCGGCAACCATAGCCGTATCTTCACTAATGTCATCGTATTTGGGACCACTGGCAGATATTTCTGCAATGTGACTCACTGAGACTCGTGCGGAACAGTGCTGAAGGAATCCTCTGGTGAGCTGTTTGTAGATATGTTGAAGAAAGCGAGGAGCTGCAACGCTGCTGAAATTGGCCGATCATTTCCCTGCTTCTCACTGGAAGTTAAAGGACCTGCGCGCAACAAGGAGCGGAAGCTCATGAAGTAAAAAGGAATCCCATCGGCGAAAACTGAATGTAACCGAATAAATGCTGCCATGCCTCACCCCACGCAAAAAACGCACAATTTAATGGCCTGCTTCCCGTGAATGTTTATCGCCGTTCACACCCTTCACCAGAATACGAAGAGTGATGAATAGTCTTTCTGGAAAATTCCACACTCGCTAACTATTCGGAGCACTCGCTTTCAAACGAGGAAAAGATTTGGAGACTCTTGCAGAAGATTTTGCAAAAGAATACACATATGGCAGATCAGCAGGAGTGACGATACCTCTGCCACCTTAATTATTCTATGAAAAGATACGTCGTTTACATTTCGAGAGCTGGATACGGCGCTTAGAAAATTTAGACGCTGTGCTGTGGGTCCCGATATGATCAGCCATCAAACAGTGACAAATCTGCCATATATTCGAAAGCGCGCCCTCTTGGACATATTTATTCATGTCTGAAGCACAGTAGAGATACCATTTGTATGGGAGACAGCATTGGTGGTGTCAGTACTGAAGCCCGGAAAAGATCCTGCGAGCCCTGCGTCATATCGACCGGTATATTGCTAACACCATGCGTATCTAGGTTGATGGAGAGACTCATATGCACAAAACTTACTCTGTAGTTCGAGCAAGAAGGGAGATGGCCCGCGTGTATAACAAGATTTCACCCACGGCTGAGCACTCAGGACAGTGTTTTAGACCGGCCGAGCCACATCGAACACTATTATATCAGCGGCCTCTCGACACTCGCCTTCTTCATGGATGTTGCCTAATCATATGACTGTGCACTTCACACAATCATCGTCAACGGACTCCAAGCCATGGGTGTTTCGGAAAATGCTCTTCGTTTCGTACATGAATTCATCGGAGACCGGCCTGTCTGCGCGAAGCTTGGAAATATCACGAGCGAAGAGTGAAGCGTTTCTCTCGGCGCTCCACAAGGAAGTGTTCTATCTTCTTTGCTTTTTAACGCTGCCAGGGATAGCCTTTCGGACACTCTGAAAGCAGCCCTGAAAGCAGGTACAATATTCATCTATGCCGATGATACCCGCATCTGGATATCAGGGTACCAACACAAACGTCTTGCCCGGATTGCACAGGAAGCCATTTCAATTATTAACGCGATAGCGTTAGAGAGCTCGTGTCGCAGAAATCCTGCTGTCGGTGTCGGCCCCGTTGGCTGTGGGCGAAAAATTGTCTTTGGGTCTGTGACCAAATATACAAATTACCGAGATCGCCGCGGGAGGCCGCTATATGTCCACGCGTGCGGCAACCAGAACCGGCAACCAGAACGGTGGAGAAGGAAAAGCAAGCAAGTTTGGAAAAAGCAGGTTTAGCCGGTTCAACTGTCGCAAGGCCCAGCTTCAGCGAGGTAGTGTTGGGGCAGGGAGGGAACAAAGCAGCTGGCGTCACAGGTGCAAGTAGCCCCCAAGGTGCAGAACGCTCCAGCTGAAAAGTCACAGCATGTGATAATCGCCGGGGACTCGAATTTAAATCGATGCACAGAAGCCATCAAAGAGAGGGTAAGAGGTGACAAGAGGGTTGCAAAAGGGGCATTCTCAGGACGCAAGCTGGAAGCAGTCATGAGGCAAGCGAGCGCAAAGCTCAAAACGACAGCTGATAGACGAAACCTCGTGATAAGGTCAGGCGGTTTAAACGATGTCTTAAATGAAAATATGGTGGGACTAGCGACTACACTGGAGAAAGGGGTCGATCACCTGCACGCCACCTCTCTAGTACAGGTAGTGATATGCGCGATACCGAAAGTACCGGTGCGTGATGGCAACCGGCAAAGAGCGGTTGTCAACGCAAGTCAAGAGATATGGGAGATGAGTAGAGAAAAAGACTTTGAGGTGCTGGAAATAAACAGAGTAGTGCATAGATGGGGTGGTCTTCAACGAAACAGAATTCACTTTGAAGGGTGGCTAGGTCACGAGGTAGGTTGGCGACTTGCAGGATGCGCAGTAGCTTTTTTGTAGGGCACGTGGGCCCTTCGGAGTGCAGAATAGTTAGTCACGAGGGAAACAACCAGGAAGACTCTTTGACAGGTGGTATGGAGAGATACGATTCCAAAGTGGCACCAATATCTAAGACAGGTAGAGTCCGGCGCAGAAATACAGGAAGCCACGAAGGCCGAGCCAATTCAAACGCAGGGTATATTAACATTCAGGGTGGCAGGAACAGGCTGAAGTGGGAAGAGATAGAATAACAGCTGAGGGAGGAGAGGCCGACGGCATACGGTTTTGTAGAAACACATCTTGAGGACATAGAGCAGCCTCCTAACAATCCTGACTACGCATGGGAATATTGTAATAGAACAGAAGGCAGCAGAAAGGGGGTCGTATTGGGGCATTCATTCATAAAAGTACAGACTCGCAAAGGGTCAAGCAGGAGTGCAAGGAACATTTATGGCTTAAAGGAAAAGTGGCAGGTCAAATGACACTCCTTGGTTTCGTGTACTTGTGGACGGGAGCAAAGGCCAGAGAGGAGAACCAGGCAATGGTAGAGTGTATATCAAAGGACATTCAGGAGCTAGGAAGAGAGTGCGAGATAATTATACTAGGAGACATGAGTGCGCACATAGAAGATATAGATGGGTATACCGACCCGACAGGCAAAATGATCTTGGATATGTGTGAAAGGCTTGATTTCATCATTTGCAACAGTACCGAGAACTGTGAAGGGCAAATAACATGGGAGGTAGCAAGGCTTCATTCGACGACAGATTATGCACTGATGTCACATAGGATGTATGATAACTTAGGGGAATACACATAGATGAAGGTGGCTCCAGAAGTCTGGGTAGCGATCACAAACGTATCAAGCTAAAATTTGGGAGAGCAGTGAAAGTGGGAAGGAGACAAGATGAGCAACTACAGGAAAATTTTTATCCAGAAAGCAAATTGAAATAGCCACTAAACAAATTGAGAAAGTAATCACGGAGGATAATAAGACAGTGTGGACATACACAAATCTAATTAGACTCTGAGCTAGAGCTTGCTAAGACGCGTGTCAAGTCACCCAGGGAAAGAAGACACAAACCCAAATGTTGGTGGGATGAGGAAGTTAAGAGAGCCATAGCAAAATGTCAGGAAGCCTCTAGGGAACACAGACATGCTAAGCAGCGGGTTGAACCGACAGATGATGTTGAAAAAAAATGGGCAACCTTTCTAAGCTGTAGAAGGGATGCA